TATCTATCTATCTATCTATCTATCTATCTATCTATCTATCTGTTTCTCTCATTTTCCCTGCGCCACGTCATCAAATAGGTGATTGTAGACGTGCCATGTGTCCTAAAAATCGAACTACTGCGTTTCATCATTTTGTTCGACATATGGGCTTCGTTTCTTTTCGAGCCATATCTTCCCATAATTGACCCAACCCGTAAGTCTAAACGCGGATTAACTGGCGTTTTGTTATTAGGGTTGAACCCGTGTACTTCTCTAGGCGTAACCTGAGTTCTAAGAGAGTTGTTTCATCTTCTTCCTTATCAATCAAAGAGCTGCCAGTTACAGATTAACCCTCTTCACTTCCTTCCTAAATCCATACCCCATGATCTCTCTTGAATGCGATCTTAACTCATGCAAGGCTGTGGAACTGAGACTATAAAAAAGTAAGCTTCCATTCCATGAGACCATCTCCCCTTTTCACAAACCAGTAATTTTATTTTCAGTAAAATTGCTAACGCATGGGAACCGGTCTATCTAGGGTTCCTCCTTCTCTTCCATGTCTGTAAGCTCAATCGATAATGGTCGGAAGTTTTCTGCAACAGATCTTCATAGCGAATCTCTTTCTTGAGTTCAGTTCATTCTGCTTCGTCTGGAATTATTTTCTTTGGAGCGTTATCGAGCTGCATTGAAACATCGTCATTAACAACTGCCTTAATTCTTCCACCAACTAGAGGTGGTGGATTTCAAGCTATTAACAGGTTAGTTTTCATCCCTAAACATCATCCTTAGAAATCCTAAAAACACTAGAAAGTTTTGTTTCACTTGAAAGGCTAACTAATCCATCTCTTAGAGTTCTTATCAGGTTTTCAATTTAATAAAGTTTAGATTCTTTATTGATTTCTTGCTATTCTCCTTCAGTCAATTTGTTTGTTCTTAATTTCCAGTCTTATGATATTTCAGTTACTGTTGATTTTTTAAGAACTGGATCGTTTTTAATTTGAAGGACCCTCCAATTCGTATGCCAACAAATACAATTGTGGATATTCTTAGAATCATAGTTGGTAAGGAGTCCAACACTCGACACATCTTTGATGCTCTTCTTATATGATGTTTCATGATGTCTTAAAATAAAGGTTTTTTTTCTCTAAGTGTAGAAACCCATCTGATTCCCATACATTTCAAAGTCTGAAAGGTGATATACATACGTCAACTTCTTATTGATTTTCCTATTCTATTTATAGGAGAAGGTATTAAAGGATCTTCTTTGGTGTCCTTTTATGTGATTAGTTATTTGCAAGACATAAATAGTGTGATCAACATGAATGCCGCATATGACAGGTTGTTTGGTGGGCCGTGGGTTGTTTAAGAAAAATTTAGAACTGATGTTTATTATCGGTGCATAGAACAACTTGCTCAGCTTCAGGTTCTTCTCGATAAAGCAATAAAAATGGTTTTGTTTTCTTTTTAGTCTTTGATGATTGGCTTAGAATGTGCTTTGGCTTTGCAGGTTTCTGAGATCTTATAACTCAGGTGTGGCTGTCTGAAGTATACCATCAAAGTTCGTTTGATGGCTCTTCAGCTTCAAATCATATGTTAACTGACCATGTCTGTAGAAATCCATAGTTTGTGTTAACCTATAGAAGATGTCTCTCCGATGCACTTAGCCATTAAGTTGATCATTTTGGACTTCAAGTCAGCGTGTTTAAAGTGGAGACAGAAGGATTTGAATTTCATTGACGAATTTGATATTGTAGCAGTGTCTCTTGAGCTTTACTGCAATTGTTGGCATTAATGGTTTTCTTACTCCTTCATTAATGGGCAAATGAACTTATACGAGCATAACGAACTGAAATCGGTTCTTAAATATTCTTTCTTCTTCACTATCACCACGAGTAGAAAGATGACCACCATAAAGGCTAGAGTTGATCTGTAATTTTTTTTTCTCAATACCTAAAAACTAAACTGAAGAAGCCAAGTTATGGAGAAGCTTTGCAATCTAAGGTTTGGAGTGTATTTATTAATTGAAAATAATCATTTTGAGATAGATTATCCTCATGTTCGTCTGCGTTGCATGTTTGTTAGAAACAGCCACTAAGGAAGTTGACTTAGCATTTTTAGTTTTTAAAATATTTATTATTTCGTGCACAGTTTTTTTTTTTAATTAGTCTTTTAGTAGCATCGGGACTTAGTTAGAAACTTTTCATCGTCACTTGAATGATGTTTTATAAATATTAAAAAGTCCAATGAGTTGAAATAGGTTGGCATTTATCCAGAACCAAACTGAGCTGAAAAAGAAATTCCGTAATTATTTAAGCAATTCCAGAATCTCTAAATAAAAAAATTGGAATAAAACCAGAATCGAATTGAAACCGAATCAACAACCAAATGGATATCAATTTCTATAATATAATTTTGTGTATTTATAAATATTAAGTATATTAGATTTTAAATTAATCAAATAGTTTAAAAATACTATTTGTAAATTGAAATACCCAAAATATTAAATATCCTAATATTTTTAAAAAATGCTCTTGGATAGCCTCTTTTAATTTATTTTTACAAAAGGAACCTTCAAATAAGAAAATGACCAAAAGAAATTTTATTGACTGACAAATCTATTTTTATACCCTTAAACTATTTTGTTTAGAGTTAAGAGTGGAGTTTTGGGGGTAGAGTTTAAAATACTCAAAAATAAAACAATAATTATTAAAAATTTAAAAATAAAACTTAAAAATGTTTCAAAAGGAATTTTTGAATTTATAAAAGAAACCAAAAAAATTAAAAAAAAAATCGAAAAATAAAAAAATATAAAAAGTACGATTTTGAAAATATATAATTCGAAAATATTAAAAAAAATATTTTTCTTTATTTTATTTTTTTAGTTCTTATATTGATATATTTACTATTGATATATTTATAAAGTAAGAGAAACAAAAGTCTCTTGCATCTTTAATGAAACTTCTTTTGGTTACTTTCTTCTTTGAATGTTTTTTATGACAAAAACTTAAAAAAGCCGTTTGAAAGAATTGTCCCAATATTTTTGGTCATTATAGTTAAATTATTCAAATCTTATCTTAAACTGTGAAAATCTGATATTTAACTGATGAAGTTTTGTTTCTTTAACCCGAATTAACCAAATTAGAACGGGGTGAAATACAAAATTATCTCACATATTAGTCAATTCCTAATTTTGTTACCCAAACTAAATCAAGATCCAAAAAAACCCAAACTAAAAACAAACCTACCATATCAGAAATTTCGATGCGGGTATCAGTCTCTCGGCTCTGTGACATGTTCTGAATAAACTGATCAAATTGTATTCCATCTATCATTTTAAGCTATGTGTCCCCAACCACATTATAAAGACAATGGGAATCTAATAGAGACGCTTAAGTGATTTTTTGCAAAGTAATTAATTCATGGTGTTGCAATAGTTTGTATTGGGATATAAGATCCATGACACCACACAACTCTCTTTCACCTGCTCTTATACAACCAGTAGCACATTGATTACAAGATGATCCAAAGTGGGGACGAAAAGAGAAGAAGTTAGTCTCCCTAAATTTTAAACCAATTTACCTCCAATTTTTTGTACTTTCAGGTTCTATCGTAATTATCATGCTTTAGATTTTTTAATCATGAGTGCATATGATTTCTGTCTCAAAAAGAAAAAATTCAAAGGAACTCTTCGTGCATTTTTAAAACTCAGATTCAGCATAAACTAATAATCTACAATTCAGAAAATATAAAAAAAGTAAGCGCTAACAAAAAATATGAATTAGCATAGATCGCAATCAAAACTATCCTAGAGACAAAATCGTATTAGAAAGTATTGTATTTGTAAAAGAATAAACCAAGTACACGAATTTTTTATTTTGATCACTATCCTTTATTATACCCCATGTGATGTTATCTCTCTCATTCCAATTTAGATGAAAAATTAATTTATCTGCAACATTTTTGTATGATAATAATACAATTATTTTATTTTGAATTTTGGTAGATTATAAAACAATTAATTCCTCTGTTTTTTAAGGAAACAACTATCCGCTTAATTTATTATATGTAAACAACAATTAATCTTACAACATTGTTTTCAGATTTGGAGTTAATTAATAACTATTTTAAGAGATAGTAATACACAATAGATTAAAAACGTTTTTACGAGAATAAGACCACAAGAAAATTTTTATACATAATAAAAAATAAAAATAGTTGTTAGAAAAAATATAATAAAATACAGATCATAAAAATAAAAAACATAAATGAATATTTTTTTATATAAAAGAGATATGTTAAGTTATTCTAACTAAATAAATATAGAATGTGTTTTAAATATTTATGTCAAAAATTCTAAAAAAACTGTAAACATAGATTCACATCTGTGTAAAAATAACATATAGAGTTATATAGTCGAATAAAAGACACACGATATAACATAAAGTAAGAGAATCAATAAAATTAGATAACTTCAAATTAAACAAATAAATCAAATACACCATCAAGATAAAAACAAAATAAAACTTCAGATAAATAATCTTATTAACTATAAGGCAAAATTTAGTTGATTTTAATGAGAACGAAACTGAAGAAAGAATAACAATCAATAAAATAATGATCAATACTAATATAGAACAAAACAATTTAAAATAAAACAAATATTAAATAAAAAGAATATTTACTTCAACTATTTATAATTATCATCCCGTCCGTAGGGTGGATCGATCCTAATATATAATAAAAATAATTTTGTAGTACACTCATCCCGCCCCTAGTAAAATTATAAGATTACCACACAAAAAAAAAAACCTTTATGACTATATTAAGTACATTGGAACAAGTCTTATGACGATTTGCTATACTTCCCCCACTCCCCTCCCCCCTCAACCGGAGCGTAATAAGTTCTTAGAGCCACGTGTTGAAGACTAAACCGAAACCCAATAATAGAACCCACGTGGAGGTAGAGGCAGTAGGACCCCATATAAACTTCAACGCGTAACGCTCATTCCTCACAATAACAATTACAAAGCTAAACATTCTTACAAAATCCAAATTGTAAGTTTTCTTTAAGAGAAGATAAGAGAATGTCTAACAACAGCCAGAGCATGAGCTTCAACGCTGGCCAAGCTAAAGGCCAAACCCAGGTTTTGTCTATGCGACACCGTTTATCTAAACCTAAATAAGTATTTGTTAGATAATTTGGATTTAGATTAATATTAATTAGAAGTAACTATATTTTTGTAGGAGAAGGCAAGCAACCTGATGGACAAGGCCTCCAATGCTGCCCAATCTGCTAAGGATTCTTTGTCAGAGGTATATTTTCTTTTCTCATTCTTAAATATATCTTTTGGTCAAACAATTATGTATTTATGAGAATTCGAGCACAGGGTGGACAGCAGCTGAAGCAGAAGGCACAGGGTGCGAGTGAGGCCATTAAGGACAAGACGGGCTTGAACAAATGAGAAGCACAAACAAGCACATTCCTAATAATAATTTACGATTTCTATTCCTACTATTAATAATTAGATAGAATCATTTATCTATCTAAAGTATTTCAAACGAAGCCAGTCAGGGAAAAAAAAATTTGTCAAAGTATATTCAATATCTGTTTGTTGTTGACTCTTGTCTTTTGAATAATCCGTAGTCTTGAAGTTATTTCTATATGTAATAAACGTATATTGGAATACATGGAACTTTAGCTTACTTTTATTTTAAAATATAAGTATTGTGACTCGATTTTATTTTCTTTGTTACCACGAGCCGACCACGAGTTGGATTGTTGTTCCGATTGGTGACATATAGAACTGAGATATTAAATATCTCGTACTTATGGTTCTAAATTCAGTTTTTAGAGGAGAGAGAGCACCTCGTACTTATGGTTTTCCAACTGAACAAAACTTCGTGACATTTTGAAAAAAAGCAGCTCCAATACCCTTGTCAATATGTAACCCAGCATGATAACATGTCCATAAGTCAACCTGAAACACCAGTAAAAATAACCTGCAATCCTTCTCCACCTCCACCATTGTGAAACCATCCTCACCATACCAAAGAATATCCAAATAAAAACATTTATGTAAAGAATTAGTAAAAACCAGTGCCACACTCTTACATAAACATTTTCATTCCGAATCTGAATGTTGATAAACACTATTACGAACCACAGAGACATTACCTTATCAGAACAATTCCCTCGCAACTCCTGCCATGTTGGATTCCTTATAATCAGAACCCATCTTTTCTCAGTCTCACCAGCATTAAGAGGCTCCTGGGACCTTACGAGACGAGACTGATCCCATTCAGTTTCCCATAGCTCCGTTGAAACTTGAACAACCAAACACACCCAGAACCACCACCTTCCCTGCAACCATGAAACCAGTAAAAATAAAAACCTCCAAGAACATGTCATCCTAGACAAAATGCTAAAAACACTACTCTTTATATTGAGAGGCCAATACTCCTTGCCCTCACACAAAATACCAAGATTCCCTATATTCTGAGTCAAATAAACGAATCCTTAGGGTATGAGGATTATGTTGGAAAACCATAAGTACGAGGTGCTCTCTCTCCTCTAAAAAGAGAATTCTCTCTCAAATGTTCTTCTTTTTTTTTAAAGGGGGATATCATTTCTAAATGTGTTTTAAAGTTTTACAATCTCTGATTCTGTGTAACTGACTGAAAATAAATAAATGAAACACATGTGAAGCAAAATGTAGATCTCCTTAAGCTTGAACTCTTCCGAACCATAGTGATAGATAAGTGGGTTGTTGTTGAGTGGAGATTTTAGTGGAGTCTTCCTTGTCAATCAAATAAAGCTTTGCTCGTAACTCAAGAGAACCATCTCTGACAATAACTGAGTAAGGTGTTGAAACACATGAGTGAAGCCTTGAATTTCTTTCTTTCCAGAGATGATAGATGGCTGCTTGAAAGACCATAGTTAGTACCATTCCTAGCCTGCTTTGAGCTTGTGAGGTTCTGATCCAAGAGACCACTTCTTGCAGACGGTAAGAGATGGGGAGCCCATCCTCTCAGTTAAGTTTTTCCATACTTGTCGAGAGTAAACACATTCAAAGAAAATGTGCTCTGAAGTTTCGTTTGCAGCACCACATAAGAGACAAAGAGGGGAGATAGTCATACCCCAACATAACAGCATTGTCTGTGGTCATCATTCTATTTCGCATGACCAGCCAGGTAATGAAAGAGTGTTTAGGAATCCTCTTTTTAGGCCAGACTGCCTTGAACCAGTTAATGAGAGGCGGATCCTGGCTCAGAACTATCAATAGGTCGGCGACAGAAAAATCGGTGGGCTGACCTGTTTGAGGATTCCTCAAAACATAAAAATCGTTTCCAGCAGAAAAGGTGTCTGGAGTTTCCGTGGGTAGAATTGCTCTCATGTTACGGAGAATGGGGTACCTGTCCCTTGTTGATACATTCCAATTTCCGTTCATAGCAGCAGACGAGACAGATGCATCAATGGGAATACCTGAAACCATAGGCTCCAAAGGGCCAGTGATATCGATTATTGGACCCCGATTTGTCCAGTCATCATGCTAGAAAGATGCCACTCTTCCAGAGATGACGTGACAGCGAATGAAAGGCCGTATGGTTGTTCTTAAATTCATTAACCATCGCCAAATCCAACTTCCCACAGTAGAAAAATCATCAATCCATAGTTGTTTTTCTTGAATATAATGAGATTTAACCCAAGCCACCCACAATGAATCCGAGCCTGAAAACACCTTCCAAAGGAGCTTAATCCCGAAAACAGTATTTAAGCTCTGTAATCTGCGAAGACCCAAACCCCCACATTATTTTGGAGTGCAGACTGATTCCCAAGACACTTTCGCTCCTCTATCAGAATCAGGAGCACCAGACCACAAGAAGGCATTCAGAATTTGGTCAAGAGAGTCCAAACAGCTTTTAGGTAGAGGAAAAGCAGCAGCCCAGAATCAAATAGTATTGTATAAGACCGAATGAATAAGCTCAAGCCTGCCTGCGAAGGTCAGATGACTAGCAGTCCATGAAGAGACTTGGGATCGTATCTTATCAACAAGAGGCTGGTAGTCTTGACGTCTAATCTTGTGCGGTAGAAGAGGTAGTCCCAAGTACTTGACTGGTAATGATCCTTGTGATATACCAAAGCTGGCGGCCAGTGATGCAGAAGCTACACGGTCATTTCCGTCAACAAAAACACAAGTTTTCCTGAGATTTAAAGCCAGGCCAGAACTCCTTTGAAAATCCCTTAAAACTGAGAGAATTCCCCAAAGAGAATCAGTGGTGGCATCGAAAAATATTAGCAAGTCATCAGCGAAGCTTAAGTGAGTGACCAGAGGGTCTAAACATTTTGGATGTGCCCCAAACACTCCTGCGTGAAGGGCAATATCCAACTCTTTAGAAAGAATATCCATAGCCAAAACAAACAAAGTAGAAGAGATGGGATCTCCCTGTCTGAGGCCTTTCTTGCCTGGGAAGAAACCGACAAGTTCTCCATTTAAAGCCACAGAATAAGAGGGAGACGTGATGCAAGCTCTGATCCAGTCTATAAAAAAATGGGGGAAGATCATATGCAGACAGAATATTGAGAATAAAGTCCCACTCATTGCAATCGAATTCCTTAGTTATATCAACCTGCAGACAGCCTCGAGTTATATTTCCGGTTTTGTGAAAATCAGCCACAAGTTCAGCAGCCAGAAGGATGTTATCAGTGAGTACTCTTCCTTCCACAAAACTCACTTGATTATTTTGTACAGTCTCCTTTGCAATTATCTTAAGCCGAGAGGCCAAAATTTTTGAGATGACCTTTTACACTGTGTTGCAGAGAGAGACAAGACGAAAGTCAGTGAGAGCAGAAGCTCCTGTGATTTTCGGAATGAGGGAGATGACCGTAGCATTTGTCTGACGGGGCAAAGTGGTGGTCATGGAAAAGCTCTTGACTGCGTTGATAAGATCAGTCCCAACTAACTCCCATGAAGACATGAAGAACTCAGAAGAGAACCCATCAGGACCAGGTGTCTTACACTTAGGCAGCGCAAACAAAGTGTCTAATATCTTTAGAATTTGGAATAACAATAAGTCGTTCGGTATGCGAAGAGGGGAGACGAAAAGGATGGATTGATTGGATGTAATCAATGTTGTATGGAGATACAGCCACATTAGAGAGCCCCTGGAGATAGGTGTAAAAACGAATAATCATCTCTTTCATTTGAAGACCATCAAAAATCCTTCTATTATTCTCATCAGTTAAGAAATGCACCACATTCTGAGCCAGATTTGCCTTCACTGATTTATGAAAAAACCTGTATTTAGATCCCCTTTCGAGGTCCACTTAACTCGAGATTTAAGCTGGAAATTTTTTTGTTCAGAAGCAGCTAGGTGTATCCACGAATCGCGAGCATTGGATTCATCTCTGAATAGTTTCTGAGTAGGAACAGTCAGAACTTGAGATTGAATATTTTGTAGCTTCTCAAAAGCTTCTTTAGTTCTTTTTTCTATATCGCTGAAACCCGTCCTGTTAATTCTTTTACAGCAGACTTTAGCAGATCTTAGCTTCTGGTAAAGTGCAGTCATGGGAGCAGAGGAAATAACTTGGGCAGTCCAGGCTCTCTCTCCATCAGAACCTTATAATCTGGGTGCGAGGTAAAGAACGTGAAGAAAGTAAGCCTTGTTTTCCTTCTAGCAGCATCATTTTTTTATTGAAACAAGACAAGGAGAGTGATCTGAAGAACCAGGCGCATCAAAAAGAGCTAAGGAGTCTGGGAATTTCTCTAGCCAAGCTTCATTGATGAGAGCTCTATCCAGCTTCCGAGTTCTTGGACTTGTTGGACAGTTGTTAGACCACGTGTGGAAACATCCCCGATACGCAAGGTCGAACATCTGACTGTCATCTAAGCACTCCTGAAAATCAGCCATACCCCCTATAGACAGTGGTGAAGGATATATAGAGTAAGCCTCATCTGCGGCTAAAATCTGATTAAAATATCCTAGGATAATCCAAGGGGAGTTTTGCATGACTGATGATTGAGCTAACTACCGAATAGAGTTCCACAGGGGAAGGCGATGACTTCGCTCATTGTAAGCATAAACAAAGCAAGCCGTAAAATATTCTTGAGATGAGGGATCAAAAACCCCACAGGCTATTATCTGAGGCGAACGGTAATACACAACCATTGATAGGATCGGGTTCCAAATGTGGACAATTCTTCCATTTTCTGCTGCTGAGGCGTGATTGGAGTCAAAACGCCAACCCGGGAAGTGAGACGAGATCAGGCCAGGCAAAACATCTTACTTCACATTCGTTTCCAAAAAAACACCAATCATGGGATGATTGATACGTATCCACTTTTTAACGTCAAATTTTCTAATATCGCCATTAAGGCCTCTAATATTCCAGCAAAAACACTTCATAAGAAGGACAAAAGAGGTGGTGTCGAAGCACTTAGGCTTCCAAAACATGTGGAGACTCCCTAGGAGGAGAGAGCTCCACAGAGACCACTCTTGGAATATTTGAGGCTGGTAGATCCAGCTGAATTTTTGGAGGTTCAGGCTCGTCATCGCACAGCATTCGGAACAGTGCTTGACGCTGTCTTTTTCTTATCATCTTCCTACTTTTCTCTGGTGTAAAATGGGGAAGTTCTGCCTCCGCCTCTGCAAACTGTGAAGAGGTGACTGTGAAGAGGTGACTGGCTTGACGGAAGAAGAAGAAGTAGGAGAATTTTTGGACTTTTTTGGAGGCGAAGAACGATTTACCACTGGAACCCATTCTAAAAGACCACTCTTAAGACGAGGAGAGGTGGAGCTGGTTCGAGATGACGGTAAGCTCAAGGATCTTCTCATTGAGGAAACACCCTTTTGCACCAAAATAGACGATGGTACTGTAGGAGAAGACACATTTTTTGACATCCCGACTGGAGAGCTAGTGTTTTTAAGAGAGGTGTCCTTGACCACCAACATAGAACCAGGAGAAGCTCCAGACCTTGTAACCAAGTTAGCCTCCACAGGAGGATTTGAATGTTAAGGTTGCACAAAGGTCTTTTCTGAGGTATGACGCTTTGGGCATCGCAACTCAGAGTGACCGAATTCTGAGAAAGTTCCACATTTATGGGGAAGATTGAGGTACTCTGCATTAATGAAAACCGAGGTTCCCACTTTATCAATGACTTTAAAAATTGAAACATTTTTCGCAGCCAACTTGAGAACAACCTTTAGCTTAACAACTCCGTTTGAATATTGTTTTAGCTTAGGAAACTCCGACTGCACTGGGAAACTGATACCAGTAGCAATAGTGCTAAAGCCTTTTAGAGACCATACTTCGGTGGAACATTTCGGAAGAGAACCCAAACCGGGGTGTATTCCAACTTCACTGGAGAGATACTGATTCCTAGAGACCATTCGAAAACCGAGAAAGCACATTTTCCAGAGTGCCAAAATCCAACGTCCAGTACCCACTCCCTTGTGACCTCACATGGGATGAGAATGAGACATACATCTTTTGAGTGATGCCTTACACGAATTCTTCCTTGCTTACCCCAAATCGGGTTTAGGTCAGCGAATATTTTTGCTGGTGAAGGGGCAGTTCCATGAAATTGAACAACTAAATAACCCTTCCAAGAGATGGAAGATTTGAAAATAACCGATTCTGGGGTTCAAACAGTTGGATTTCCGTCCTCTGAGAAAGATGGAGAAGCCATCTTTTTTAGGTTATGAGATGTTGACTTTAGCTTAGAGACCCAAAGAGTCGAAGTAGGCGAAGAGGAAGGGCCAGCTGAAGTCGAAGGAACATCGGCGAGAGACGGGAGCGGAGCAGAGGGGACAAATGGGGAGGGTGAAGCAGCGGCAGTGACGAGATCTCGAGAATTTGAGGAAGCGAGAACGGCTACCTCCCGAGGCTCAAAAGACTGAGGAACTTCAGGGTGAAGAATCAGTCGAGAGTCCCAAGAGGAGAAGAGAGGATCTGCTTCCCGAGAGACTAGACAGAGATCCGGGGGCAAAGGGGGTCCGAAACCGTCGGGGGAGGAGCTGGAGAAGGATCCATGAAGACCGCGAGGAGATGAGAGTTCTCAGTAACGGCAAGTGGCACCGTCACCGGTGGCGCAGGAGGAAGAAAACCCTATCGCCAAAAGATCGCCAGAGAGAGCGCGTGTTTTAAATGAGAGTGTGTGTGTCCGAGCGCGTGTCCGAGCGCCAGAGAGAGCGCGTGTAAAAAAAAATGTTCTTCCTTCTTAACAAAAACATATCATTCAGAAGAAATACATCATATTATTTTTTTGTTGCAATATAAAATTTCGATCATTTGATCAATCTTCTAGTTCTGCTTGGCTTTATATTTTGCTAGGCGATTTTGTAGTGGTTCAATCCAATCAATTTTTTTTCATGATTTATCTTTCTTTGACTGAGATTGACTCAATAAATAATCCAAACTTAGTCGGATTAGTTAACCTCCTCTTCTCCTTTGATCTTAAAATCACACCCTCCATAAATCTAAGAGTCGTTATCTTCTTGTTGTGGTTATCCTTGGTTTTTTATTCAACAAAGAATCAATTTTTGTCTTTGTGATGTGTAAGCAAAAGTATCTTTGATGGATAGTCAAATCAAGCTTTTCGAGATAGCTTTGAGGATTTATCGCAGATTTAGTAAAGATGGACTGTCCATTATTGGACTGCATTCCGTTAACTATATGTTCAAATCTTCTAAAGACTTCCACGCGTTTATCATGCCTTGACGATTTTGGTAAGGATCTTTTAGATTCAATAGAGTTTAGGAGAAAGGAGCTTACAAGTGGATGGGAGAAGAAACTCATGTTGGAAGTTGATGTTAGTTTTGAAACAGAGATTTCAAATCGGCGGTTGATTTTCTGACACCTCTAAGATTCCCACCCGTTGCATAACTTGATGTCAAGATACATGCACATGGATTTGCATGAAGCTATACTTGTTAATTCTCGACATCTATCTATACTATTAAAACAAAAGTCATTTTTTTAAAGTGTCATTTTCTTTTGCAAGTATTTACAGCTAAATGTCACTGCATTATTTTTTAAGCTATGCTTTACATCAAAGCGGTTTTACCCGATTAAAATGATTTTGACCCAATTTTGTTTTAACAGTATTTACAGATCTCTACCACCAGAACCTTTTATTTAAATAGGAGAATATTAGCCATATATATATAAACATGATTTGTGAATGTTCTACAACTATATACATATTCTTTCTATAACATTATAATCGATATATTTTCATGAAATATACTTTGTCGCCATTCATCTGACCATGAACCAACCATTTTTCATCGTAGCTCTTCTCATAATTCTTTTACACTTTAACATGTAAAAGAATACATCATTCAGATATGTTCACTACCAAAGGTTTAAAAACTACATAAATAAAAATGTATAACAGATACGATAACATACAAAATTTGTGTATAACCATAATATACCTAACAGTACCATACTCTAACTAACCATACATTAAAATATATAATACATTTTCACTCTTCCGAAATAATACCAAAACGTATGCTACCAAATACAAACGCAACCATAATATAACTAAATTTTGGCATACATTAATGTTATGATCCAATCTGTTTCATTAACATAATTGACTAAAATCAAACTGAAAAAATAGTTTGCATCCTACACATGCATCATTATATTTTAAATATTTATATATGCATCATTATATATATAGTTCAAACCGAAAAAATAGTTCAAAATCTTTCCCAAATAAAATTTATATATCCATCATTATATTTTAAATATTGAACAACTTAATATCAAATAACAACAACAATAGAATCTAAATTTGTATCAGTATATCCAAGAATATGCTCTTATTATGCTTTTTTAATTAAAATCAGTATTTTCGGTAATCTTTTTATTCAAATTGCAACATTTAAATTACAGATAGGTAATCTATGGGAATATTCATTAGAGAAATAAAACGTATGCACTTATGTCATTTAAAACTTTTAGTAAAATAAAATTTTCAAAAGAGCAAATCCAGAACAATAAAATCTTAACTTTAACTCTTATTTTTAGGATTAATTTTCTCTATAACCATTTTCTTTGACTAAAATAATATTTTTTTATCAAACTCTAAAAAATCACAAATCAAATAATCTGTTTAATTTTTTTTACTATTTAAAATTATATGAGAAAATTAATTAAACTTTTGTAGAATTGTTATCAGATTTTGTTTTTTGGTTTGAATCATCAAGTGTTGGGTCACGGGGTTAATGATATCTTTTAACCCAGTTTTATCAAGTTTTTAATTAATGTATTAATTTACACTAAATACAAACAAGGTTTTATACGGGTCATTAGAGTTACCGGTTTGATCACAGTCCATATCGGATATGAAAACATTGGTGTAGACTAAAAAAATTTAAAGTGTCAAAATAAAAGCTTCTCAATCATAAAATTCAAACATCAAATATTTTAGACCAATGTTAATTATTTTTTATACATACTAAATATAATTATCCCACGCTTTTAAAACGCGGGTCTAAATCTAGCAAAATACTGAAAATACTATTACTTGAAAAAAAAAACCTAAACACTACATAAACGTTACTAGACTTTAATCCACACATTCATAGATCTTACTAAACAAACCCCAAACATAATATTTTTCTCAAACCCTAATCTTCCTTGCAAAACAAACTGTAAGCAAACAAGAAAAATTAAATATATTATCTAATTAAATATAGTCAACATCAAGATATTTATGTTAAAAAAATATTTAATATTTCTGATATGTGGTTTACGAAAGCATAATATATGGAAACATATTTTTAACTATGTAGATTGGAACTGAATATTGTTTTTTTACACATTCTTTTTAGTAACTTAATATATCAAAACTTCCAATTTTTCATGTAGAAAGATCGAACTTAACAAACAATTTTTTAAAAAACTTTTAATTTAAACATATTCAGGTTAGTTGAACATAAATGGGAAAACCATTTTAAAAAAATAAATAAATGAGATTAAATCTAGATTTGAAAATGGCGAATTGTGTGCCAAAACTTAAACATTTTGTTTTTTTATTTGCAAAAACATTTTAAAAATAAATGCGTGAAATTAAGATTGAAATCTTTAATATTAAACTCACATATTGTTTTGACAAATATTATGGAAACTTAACAAATATGTAGCAACTTTAAGAATATCCCACAAAATTCTCATTAATTACTAAATATTTCCAACATACATTTTACATATAAATATATATATATATATATATTATCAATGAAATTTAATAAGCCTTCATAATTATAAACATCAAAATACTTAAAATATTATATCAGTATTTGATAAAATCCGAACCCAAATTAAGAACCGAATGGGTATCCGAATATTTAAAATAAATTTTATATACATTAAAATATTAATCATCTTTAGTTTAAAATTATAAAATATTGTAAAATTACTACTTATAACAGAACAACAACAAAAAATTATCCTATTACTTTTTACCCGAGATATTTAAAATTGTTCTAATTTCTCGATAGAACTGAATCACCCCAAAAATTGGAATATTTAAATTTATCTGAGTTATATGATATTGTATCCAACGAAATTTGAAAGTGTGGTTTTATCAGAATTATTTAAAATTATCCAAAAATGAGAACGAGATCAAATATTAAATTAAACTAAAATTTACTAGATTTATAACGTTGTTCTCCGAACCAAACAAAAAATCAAAATAATTAAACCGAAACCAAATCTAAATTCATAAATAACCAAACGGTTTCTATATCTTGAATCGCATAAACAAAAACTACAATCGAACTGATACCAAATTGAGAACCAAAAAAAAATCTGGAACCGTACCAAACGTCCAAGACTAAAAATATGTAAACAAACAAGCGAGTTAGTAAAATTTTCAATACAAGACACCTTACCAATCATTATAAAAAATATTTTACATAAATATGATTACAAAAAACATAAATATGAATACAAAAAAAAAACACAAATGTAAAAACTAAATTTATAAAAAAAATAAAATTATAAAATATACCCACCCTCTAAAGAAGTATAACTCCCTATACTTCCCATTACAATCAAATATACTCGATTTAATACGATCCATAAATATTATCGAAACATACATATGTAAAGTCATCTTATTTGAAAAAGATACAATATCGGCGCTTCCGAAGCGTGGGTCAAAATCTAATCTATATTATTAAAAATGAAATACATTTGATATTTGTTTGGAAACATGAATATCATTTAATAAAAAGAATATATTGTTCTTGATAACATGGATTACAGTATATTAAAAAAAATGGACACCGGTATTAAGAAAAAGTGAAAATCTTATAATAAACTATATATTTGGACCAGCTTTACAATATATGCAAATGGGAAAATCTAA